AAACTTAGTTGGAGCATCCTAGAATTTTGAAACTAAATTTTAAATTAGGTTTTTAAAAATGTTTGTACAGTATATTTTTAATGGTGCCATCAATATAGTTTAGTAATCATCTTTATTTTCTAAGTCAAACGTGCAATGAGTGGGTTAAAGTCTCAGACCAAGATAGGGGCCTGGTAAAGTGTGGGTAAAATTATTTCAATGTAGCAATTTTAAAGTCAGTCAAATATTTAAGATTTTTCTATAATTTTAGCTGAAGCATTAAAAATCTGGAAATTCGGATTAATCAAGTTATATATACATGCATGAATATGATAATGAACCCCACTCTAACATAATTATAAAAAACTGTTTAAAAAGTTTAAAAGAAAAAAAACTAAAAATCCAGAAAAACTGATTGACATTGACCTGCATGAAAAATATAAGAAAAGAAGTCTCTGCTTTTCAAGGTATCTTATGGTTGTTTTTACAGTATTTGGGATAGAAACTAGTGCCTCACGTATGCTAGGCAAGTACTCAACCACTGCCAGGCATTTTAAATAAATATGGCTCTGTCTAGTTCATTCCTTTCTTCTGCATATACTTGCAGTCTCCTATATTTATTTACGCTAGAGAAGCGCTCTACCATTGAGCCACAACCCCAGCCCTGAAGTCTCCTATATTATTTCATTTTCATATTCTATGCAACAGGCTTTATAAATTTAGGTTTTTGACTCTCGATTCTCAAAAATCTAATCATTCCACTATTATTTCATATTACCTTTTATTAAAATAAAAATCTGTGCTAAGGAGAGGACTGAAAAAGCTGAAGAACACAAACAAAATGTTTTTTTAAACATAAAGTTTTAACCTTAATAGCCCAAAAATTCCCAAAACTTACCAGCCCAGACTGCATATTTTTCTCCTGCCTACAATCAGGTGTAGCGGATGAAGGGCAGGACTTGGGGCCAGCAAAACAGGGTGCTTGGGATGTGGAAGGGGGTGCAGTTGAGGAATGTGGAGGAGGAGGAGGCTCAGCCCTGCAGGTGTCCCCAGGCAGCATGCCAGGTGCACATGGTGACTCAGGGGCCAGAGGGACAGTCCAGCAACAGTGGGGACAAGACCATATCACCCTGATAGTCTGCACAAAAGGTCTAATGCCAGAAGCTGGTAGGCACAGCCAGTATTCATCAACTGGCATCATGGCTGAGGCTGCTCCTTCAATGCAGGGCACTGTGGGGGAAAACAAGTTGGTAATGACAGCCATTCAGAGCAAAGGACCAGAATGAGCTTCATGTAACAAGTGCGACTCCTTCAGTCTCACAGAGCAGGAGAATGACTTGCAAATAGACATAGCTGGATGTTCCTGAAAAATAACCTCATTTTATCTGCATAGACTGTTGAACAATCGCTGTCTAAATGAAACCACCAATTCTGGGAAAGTCCTGCTTCCAACATATCTAGTTCAACAAATGAAAGAAAATGTATCCTTGTGCCGAAAAGCTGAAAGTAGCCCTCACCAACTTAACCATCAGTGCTAGAAAAAATTTAAATTTAAAAATAGTTTTAATCTTTAATGTAGTAAATCTTAATAGATAGAATCCACATAAATTCTGTTGCTGACAGGGGAAATATTTTGTCGAAGTGGCACAGTTGGGTAAAAGAGCTAAACAATTTAGAGCAACATCCCAAATGTTCTAAATTGCTTAAATTTCATGTTTTATACCTCATGTGCAAAATAAGCAGCCTGACTTTTCTTAATGCCATAGATGCTCATGTCTACGCTATTAAAAATCCAAACAACAAACTCAGCAGTGATTATAGAACCTATACCAGATCCAGCTGCTTATCTTCTTTGAAACCTGATGGCTGTCAGACTTGTACTGTAGCAGCCACTGGGATGTACCTCAGGCCTTTCTTGCTCTGGATTATGAACTAGGAAAGCAATAAAGGGAAACTGCAAGTTAAATGCTACAGGTTCTCTAGAAAAGACTAGGTCTATGACAGAGCCAAGGCAGCAGATCTGTTTTTCCAAAGCCTTGACATTAAGAATGGTTCTTATATTTTTAAATGGTTGGAGAGGAAAAGACTAATAATTCATAATAAAAATTACATTAAATTCAAATTTCACTATCCACGAATAAGATTTTATTGGAAAATAACCATACCCATTTATTTCCAAATTGTCTATACTTTTCTTTTTCAATAGTAGAATTGATTATAGATTGCAAAAGAGGCCACATAGCCCACAAAGCTTAAAATACTATCTGTTTTTTCACAGAAAAAAACTTGCCAAGCCCTGGTCTGGGGAAATTTTGAATTTGTCAGTGGGTGGTAGTGGACAGAAAATAACAGTAACACTGAAGTGAGTGCAAATCAAAAAATCACCTCATTGTTCAGGGAAGGAGAGATGCTTCCTCTAAGGAGAAATTAGAAAGTTGGCTCGCCATGACCAATTATCTAGATATTCAGCTAGCATACAACTACAATGTCTAGAACCATGGTATGTTTCACCTGTACTCTGTGTCAAGTATTCTGGTAAATGACCACAGGTATCACGTTGATTACCTCCTTCCGGAGCTTTTCTATCCTATCTGAAAGTCAACCAATATCCCAGCAGTGTTTCTTTGGTACAACAGTCATTCACAAAAATGTTGCTGTCTTTTCCTCAGTGACTCCCCCGACATAAGAGCATGAATCCCTATAACCTGTGAATGTTACCTTTAAAAGGGACTTTGGAGATGTGACTAAGAATCTGGAGATGGATTTTCTAGAATTATCCCAGCAGGCTCAATGTAATCACAAAAGCCCTTGTAAGAGGGAGGCAGAGAAATGACTACAGTAGCTGGAGATGTGTTTACAGAAGAGACGGCTCTGCCAGTTTTGAAAGTGTTCTGTGCAGGTGGCCTCCAGAAATTGAAAAGACAGAATGAGATTCTTCCTCAGAGCTTCCAGAAAGAACCAGACTTGCTGATGCCTTGATTTTGGCTCAGCCAACCCAATTCTAGTTGGACATCCAACCTCCAGAACCATAAGATAGTTAGTATTGCTTCCACTCACTGTTTGGTTACAGCAATGATAAATGAATATACCCTCTAAAATAGAAACACAATTTTCTGGCACTACTTTTTCTCCAGGCCTAGAGCAGTGTCTGGCACCATTTGTGCAGATTCCAGTTACTTGGCAATGAATTCTCCAGAAGACAAGAGATCTAGAAGTATAAGGAGGACTGGGTTGTGCCTCCTTGGTAGAGCGTTTGCCTAGCATGTGCGACGTACTGGGTTCTATCTTCAGCACCACATAAAAACTAAATTTAAAAAAAGGTATTGTGTCCATCTACAACAACAACAATTTTTTTTTAAAGCATAAGAAAACTACAGTGAGTGGTGGTACCCCAGAATTTGCTGACCTTGACTGGAGAATGGGGCGATAACATGAATGTCCACAATGAGACACCATGCTGGAAATTATACACACATTACATCTCATCTAATCCTTATAGTAGTCCTCTAACTTTTGTTAGATATCATTCCCATTTCATACCTAAGGGAGACCTTGAGAAATTAAGAAAATTGCCCACTAGCCAAGAATTAAACCGAGGTTACAAATTACAAATCTATTATTTTTCTCACTGCACCACCATACATAGTAGTTCTTATTTCAAAGTATTTATCATAAATTTTTCTAATCTAAACCTTACTATTATTCTCACTTGGAAAATCAAAAACCTCAACTTTACAATTAAGACAATCTGCCCAAAGTGGATAACAAAAATGTTAGTACTGATGCAGGACATTTGATCACAAAGTGGTCCTATTATCCAATAAAGTTTTACTTTAAAATAAATTCACAACATTCTCTTAAAGTTCAATTTATTTGAACCTTCAAAAGTTAAAGTGCTCAGGGCTGGGGTTGTAGCTCAATGGCAGAGCACATGCCTAACGTGTGACGCACTGGGTTCCATCCTCGGATCACATAAAAATAAGGTGTTGTATCCATCTACAACTAAAAAAACAACAACAACAAAAAGAAAATTTAAAGGTGCTCAGAAAACAATATAAAGTTAAGGTGTTCTAACTATTAGTGGGAAAACAGCATTTTTTCAATATGATTCTTAATCTTTATAAAGGAACTCATCTCTCCATTGGTCAAGTCTTTTCTTCAATGTAAGCATGTGCTTTAATTTCAAAATAATGAGATAACTCACATGTCATGACAACTAGTAAAAACAAAAATGAGTGGATAACTTGATATTTGAACAACTCTAATTTTAAAGAGACCCAAAAAATTACCTACATTTTCTATTATCACTCTGTGCCAAATCCTCCCAGTAAAGAAATGAATCTGATAGTGAGTGAAGAACTCAGGATCTCTCCACTATCCAAAACAATTATCTTTTCGCTCCAACAACAGATCTCCGGAAAACCCAAGCAAGGTTGGAAGATTTACCAGAAGTGAGGATCAACAAGACCACCCTAAATCAAAGGGTGACAGAAACTGACAAGGATTGGAATTCCTTGAGAATTCTAATAAGAGGTAAGAATAGCTACTTTAGAAAATAATTTACCAACAAGAAATATCTATTTTTTTTAAAAAAATTCTCTAGTATATTATTAGTGAAAAACTTCCCCAAATATCAGCTCTGGCCTCTCTTGATATCATTTGTTTAGCCTTTGGATTTCCCTTCCCTGTTCCAACTAGACTTCCTGTTAGTACAGTCACTTACCCCATTTACAAATTAGTTGCCAAATTCCTCCACTACCAAAGATTAAGTTCCTAAAGATAGAAGGCAACTTATGAGTATGCTTATTGTACATTCTAAAGCTTTTTAATTTTCAGCAGTAATTTCTAAATCAGGTTGTAATTTATACTCTTAAAACAACTAGAAGCATCAAAAAGAAAAAAACAGAACAGTTCACACTAAGAATATGTGAATAAACACAGTTTAAACAGTTCTAACCTTATTAACATATGTAAAATTAGTTGGGATAAATATCTGAAGTTGTTACACGATAACACATCACTGATTCTGAAGGACATTTTTTTATTAGCAGATACATAAAGAGAACGTATGGGCCAGAAAAGACATTAACCAAGCACAAAAAGCTTACAAATAAGCATATAAGAGGGATTTTTTTAATGTTTTTTTTTTTAGTTGTAGATGGACACAATAATCTTTATTTTTATGTAGTGCTGAGAATCGAACCGAGTGCCCCATACACGCGAGGCAAGTGCTCTGCCACTGAACCACAATCCCATCCCAATCCATATTAGAGGAATTTGTGAGACAAAAAACTTCCTAAGGATACTAACAGATGAAGTCATGCAATTCTCACATAGCTTCACATTCAAGCAGAATTGTTTCCCCTAAATCTAAAGGTTCTCTTATGCCATGACTTATGCATTTGCCCTTATTACTTCCCTGCCTAGAATGCTGTTCCCATCTCCCAATTCCTACTCCCCTTTCAGCCCTTATTTGATATTTTGTCTAGTAACTGAGCAGTAGTCACACAAATTTGCTGAGTCAGCTTACAGAAGAAATCATTTAGAAATTATTTATTCTCTGCAGTGAAGCACAGCATCTAACTTTTTTTAAGTTGTAATAGTGCATATTTACTACCTTAATGCTTTTCTTGAGCAACTTTTTACCCACTCTCACCTCAACTTAATGGGATTCTCCTTGCTTCACTACCAGAGAGGAAGCAAAACAGTATCACATATCATTCTGATTTTTTTTTTTGCAAGTTGGCCAATGTTTTTAGTTTACAAAATTAAGAATTTAAAAATTTTTTATTAATGTAGATTTTATAGAGCATTCAAAAAAATATTTCCCATAAGTATGCCAGTGAAAATTTTTAATAATAGATCACAACCTCATAAATTACCAAAACACATTACACAGAAAAACAATTTTCAATATTCTTGAAAATATTTTGCTTTACAAGAAATATAATGTGTGCACTTCTGTTCAGATTTTGCTGTTTTGAAATACTTCAGAAAAACAAAACTGATTCTTATACTAGGAACAAAAATCTAATATGAGTTTGTAATCATAGCCTCTGAAATTTCAAAAGTTGCCACAATATTTTTCCAATCCTGTAAACTCAGAGATATAACTCCTTGCTTCCTACCAAAGGAACTGGGATCACCTCCTTCACCCATTTGGTTAATATTAATTGGCTCTAATATTGGCAGCCTGTCTTGGTCAAGCCTTATTCTTGCAAAGCCATCTCTTATAATAAAAGAAACGTAGAATATATTCTCCACTGTACGAGAGAAAGAGTTTGGATCAATCACAAACTCAAAATAGGACACAGGAGTATCAGGATACTTTCGAAAGTAGGTTTGCAACAATCCCAAGATTCTTTCTACTTCTTTTTCTGTTGCTTCTTGGTTGGTACTCAGGTCCAACTTCCTCAACTTTGTAGGCATATCCCCATTTCCTTCCATTTTGCGAAATTTTTTGTGATGTTCAAGTCGGGGCTTTCGTACAAAAGGCTCAGACTTGAATGAACCAAAAATAAAGTGGAATGTTTCAGCTTGCAATATCCAGGATGTTGCTTCCTTCTGTACTGTCTCCCAAAAGGAAAGAGAGATACTGTCATCACAACCACTCAACTCATCACATTCGTCTTCCATCCAATTGAGGCCCACAAATACAAACAGAAAGTCACAAAACGCTACTTGATTAAAAAAGCTCATATCAGAATTTAACTGCTTTGCTTTTTCTTTACCCAAATCAGAAGCCAAAACAAGAAACTGGGCATCGAGGGCAGCCTCTCTCGTTCGGCTCACTCCATCAAATAGGACGTTGGCTTCCTCGAGGGCCTCGGTTAAGGAGTCGCTGGCCGTGTTCACTATGTCCTCTCGGTTCTGCTGGACACTGTAGATGAGCTGCCGGTATTGCTTGCGGATGTTCCGACACTTCTCCTCGTCCTCGGTCTGACCCAGGAGGTGACAGTCTAGCTCGGGGTCCCCGGAGCTGAGGTCGTCAGAGCAGCTGTCCACCCCCACCACCACTTCCATCTTTGGCGGCTCCCCCTCCTCCTCCTCCACCTGCTTCATGGAGCACGCACGGCAGGTGCCTGTCGCCACTGGCTCCTCGCCTCCCATCAGGGAACCTTGCTCATCAGACATGTCGGTAACCGGCAGCACGCAGCCAACCGCCTTCAGAATGTTCGCGACGCTGGCGGAAATCCAAGGGGCAGTTGGAGAAGAGGAGGGATGCCAGCCCATGCGCAGTGCAGTGGGGACCTCTGCTGCTCTCGCCCCGCCCCGCCCCGCCCCCAGCTCCTCCCTGGCTGCAGCTCCGCTAGGCGCTGCCCACCCTAGCGTTAGCCTACTGGCCTGCGCAATGCAAAGAACCGGCGCAACAATGGACCCCCAGCCCCGTACAGAAATAATTCCCATTCAAGAGGCAGCTATTGAAATTTTCAGCAATGACAAAACACCCTAACTTTCAAAGAAACACTTGGACAACAACTAAAGGTCCTACGCTTTAATTAAAACGTTCCCTGCCATACACTGAAATGAGGTCCACATACTTCGTTCTGTGATTTAAAGCTTTTATGTAATGCTTGTTTTTAATAACTAGTGTGGCTAAATTGCTGGTAAGGACAAGTTAAGGTCGAGGGCCCTGAAATGAAGAACCCTCATTAAAATTAGGCAAAATAAAGTTCCCAGGTACAAGGTGACTGGAAATCACACAAATTTAACTGGGTTAATTAACCTTTGCTAGCCCTCAAAAAGCCAATCCCTGCTCAGGTTATAACTGAGTAATAGAATGCTCACTTGGGTTCATTTCCAGTACTGGGGAGAGGGGGACGGAGGGGGAAAGGGGGGGCGTGCGTACAAAATCCTCTGCAATTTACCAATTCACCTCATGGGGTAGGATCTTTCAAGAGAAAATGCACAAGATGCACTTGTGACCTTCGGTTTTCCACTGCCTCAGAGAGGAAAAAGAAAATGGGTAGGTAGGGCTTTTCCACAAAACATATTTGGAAGTCTATCAAAGGTTAACAGCCACCTAAAAAGTGAACAAAGCTATGAGGAGTTTAAACATGTTATAAGGATATGCAAGTGAAGTCTGTATGTTGGGTAAGTAAGTGTTGGAAAATTCACCCCCTTGCTCACTGGAAATTCAAGTGCCAGTTCATGAAGCTACTCAGGTTATCAGTCACACATGTAGAAATGTGTAACTGACAATGGACGGACTACATAATTAGGATATGCCTAATCCCCAAAAGCTTTTCAAAACTGCAAGTTTCCCCTTAAAAAAAAAAAAAAGTGGACCCATGTGCTGCATCTGGCAATCACAAATTTCAACTAACCAGGAAACAAATTGGCTCTACCTTCTCTTCCTGTGCATCTAGACCAGTTTTTCTTTTGGTCTAGTTTCCTGCATGTGAATAAACAGTAAAACCTATATTAACTCTAAAATTCTTACCTTACCATTCATCCATAATTTTTTTTAAGTAAGGGCAATTCAGGAAAAAACATGCACTTTTCAGAAACATCCAATATGGTTATTTGTGTGTGGATGTACTGTATTATCCTGCCCTATTAGATTGTGAGGTTTGCAAAAACAAAAACTTGACTTTAAATATTCCAAACAACTGATCTTATATGGATGCACTTGGGTATGTACTGTCTGAATAAGTAACATACTTTAAGAACTTTGTTCCAGTACTGTTACAAAATTATTTGGTGGCCAAGATTAGTAGAATAGATTCTACACAATGAAGGCAAAAATCAATTGTCTGTCAGAAAGTGTCTTATCCCTCCTCTGAAACAAAGAAAAAACAAAGACCCAGCATCATCAAAGGGCTAGTTATCTTCTTCCCATCTGGCCAATCACAAATTAATACTCAAACCTCTCTTAAATCTCAGTTCAAAATGCAGTTAAGAACTCCAAGATCCAAATCCAAAAAAAGTCTATTTTTACAGTAAACCATATTTTGAGGAGTATATTTCAATCCACTTTAAATTCAATAAAAGCAATTTATAATTAAAAATACTCCAAAAGACATGACAATCTCTCACTCTAACTTTTTTTTTTTTTTAGAAAAATCTGGTAATTCTCCGAAACGATTCAGAAAGTATCACGAATATCATTTATAGGGATTTCTCAGAAGATAACAGCTCATACAACTTGCTCAGAGTTAACACTACCTCAAAATGAGCATGATATTATTAAAAACTGTCACTTCCAGTACTGAATTCATTCTATGTATTAGGTCCTCAGGAACCTTATAATATGTAATCTAGGTCATCCGCAGAAAGGTAAACTTGTATAATTATATTCAGCCTTTAAGTCTGCCTTGAGGTGCACACAATTTTAGTGTTTCTATCAAGTAAAACCATCTCAAGTTCAATGTTTTTTCCTCAGTCACTTAAATGGGATTTCTACACTTATGAATCCTTAAATCATTAAAACTGATTTTCTAACCTAAGATCAAACTACTACTAATTATTATAAATGTAACTTAAAAAGGAAGAAATGGCAACACATAATTTCAAGTGATATTGGTGAACTTTTCCAGGACTTGGAACAGAAAGCACAGTGTAGTTTTCCTCTGGTTTTTCCTTTCCTCCCCTGTCTGAAGAACTCCTACCCAAGGCTCAACTGACCCTCCATTTTTTTTCTTCCATCTTTTCTTCCATATTTTTTTGTTCCTGTCCCAGAAGTTCAGACTGATTTACAGAAAGACCATTACAACAAATAGATTTTGTGACTTTTTCCAGCCAACACGAGAATCAGACTGGAGTCCCACAGTCTGACAGCTGGCTACACATGTCTCACTATCAGCTACCTCCCAAAGCTTTTCTGTACTTTCTCATAGCAGCTTCTGTCCTCTCGACCCACCATCAGGGTATCTGTTTAATAATGAGTTGTGAAGACAGGTGATAAAATTTCTGGTTTCATTTACAACAGAAAGTAGATAGGGTGTGAGGTACATTTTCTTTTTCACCTTAATTTCCTTTAAATTTATGTTTGTATAAATTTTTTGCTTTGTCTTTTGTAGTATATATTAAAGTTAAAACTTTGCTTTGATCAAGGGATCTGGTTTTCGTTTTGTTTTGGTACCAAGGATTGATCCCAGGGTCACTTAACCACTGAGCCACATCCCCAGTCCTTCTTATTTTTAGACAAGGTCTTACTAAATTGCTTAATGCCTCACGAATTTGCTGAGGCTGGCCTTGAACTTGTGATCCTCCTGCCTCAGCCTCCCAGGTCACTGGGATTATAAGCATGCATCACCATGCTCAGTAAGAGATCTGTTTTTAAAAGGAGTTTCTAAGTGGGAGGGAAAAAACAACCAACTATGCATAGTGGCAGGACACAACAAACCTGAGTTCTGGTCTTGATCTGTCAGCTAATGGTATTACCTTTAAGCAGACTGCTTAACTCTCATCCTCCAGTGACCTCATGCATAAGATGGGAATACTTAACTATTTATATCATATAATACTAAGTACTGAATGAGGATTATATTACAGATCAGGCAGTATTTTCAACTATTGAGTAGGTACTTAATAAATTGTAAACTATCCCCAAAATAGCTGATGTTTAATAAATAAATATCAGACACTAATAAGAAAAAAATTTATATGCAAACCAGAAGCTTCACTCCTTATTGTTGCTCTAGAAACAACAACAAAAAAAAAGGTCTTAAAGCTTAAAATCAGTAAAAAGTAATAAAGGAACATATTCCACTACAACAAAGATATCTGCCATATAACAAAAAGTTAAAACCTACTAAGTTTCAACTACTGAAAATATGCATATGACTTTGAATGTTAAATTTCTCCACAGGTATTTTTAAGCAGATCCACAAAGAATCTGAGTTTACATGCAAAATTACTTAATAATTACTTATTATCATTAATAATTGTTTATCTCATGAACAGCTCCTTAAATTCCAAACTTTTTTAAAAGTACAGTATCCAAAAACGGCTTTGAATAATTACTCTCTTCAAATAAAATGACATTATTATTGTCATAGTAGGGCTGGGGATAGAACCCAGGCAAGAGCTCTGTCACCAAGCTACACCCCATCCCAAGATGGCATTACTATTTGTAAAGTAAAAGTTAAAATGAAAGCCAGGTCACACTAAATAATATGGACTGCCACACACGGAAATTTAAAAAACCACCACCCTTGACTTGAGGTCAAGGCACACACTTACTGACATTTAAAACTCAGCACTAGTGATATGCCAAGCTCCAATAGCATAAACAAGGGTGTTGAGATAGCCCTAACCACACCCCAGAAGTCAGCAATGAGTATCACTCTGACAGACTGAGGGAGGGGCACTAGGTGTGTGGCTATTAAAGATGGCAGTTGAAGGTGCTCAGCTCTGGAGGCCTGGGTTCAAATAAAAAACATGTTTTCTCATTCTTCAGCCTTTGAGTTTCCTCACCTGTACAATCTGTCTCTGTCTCTCCAATTTTTTGTAGTGCTGGGGATTGAACCTAGGGCCTTGTGCATGCTAGACAAGCATTCTTAGCACTGATCTACCCCCCTACCCACCACAAATGTATTTTATTTAAATATTTCATCCTACAGTTTGGTTATTAAGGGATAACAAACTCGTTACCAAGCTCCTCTGACAACACAGGTGCGTGATGAAGAGTAGCTAAAGAGACCTGATACAGCTTCTTCCCAACTGACCTGGACACTTCTGTATAAAATGCTCAAAGCTGCCAATGTTACTGTCACACAGCTTTTTAAAAATTCTAAACTGCTTCCCCATGTGCTACCAAGAATCTTCTGAACAACTTAGAGCCCATCTTCAATAAAATCAGAACTTGAGAGCTAAGTTCTTCCCAGAGTGAGTCTCTGTCCCTACCTCCATCCATTCACTCAATAAATATTTTGCTAAAATGTACATGTGGTGTTAAAAAAATGCATAGAAAATAGGAAAATGCATCATTGTCTCCTAACTTAATAGGCACGGTGTTTCATTCAACAAGCCTCTAACGAATGAATACCTCCTGTATACCAGAACTATGCCAGGAATATCAAGATGAATCAGGAGCACCACCACACCAAGAAGGCAGGCATGTGGCTCAAAAGTAATAACAAAAACTGAATGTTAGAGGTGTGAGCGCACCAGAGCGAGCCCTGCGGATAGGAGGCCTTTCTTTGGGTCCCAGTCCTAGCTCTGCCACCTCACCAGCCTCGCAATTAGGACATGCTCCTCTAACTCTGAAGGTCTACATTCCTGTTTCTGACACTACCACCTGCTTCA